TCTAATCAGTCTGTGTACTCACTCGAGCCACTCCCACACATACCAAGAAACCCTAACCCTGATAGTTTACTCACTGGGATTTGGCCTGCGTTGCACGACAAGGCACACAAAGACTTGGGCAGAAACTGAGAGGATTGTATGTTAGATGAAGTCTCCTGAAGTTGAAAGCACTCATAATGAAGTGTTTGCAAGCTGAAAAAAGTGAAAGGAGCCTGTAAACGTTATTTGACTTTAAAAGCTTTAAGTGAGCTTGGGCCTCCAGTCGTTCCAGTCACGTTATCTGAGGTTTTAAATATGCTGCTCATTTTGACTCACATTAACTATGTATAAATATTTCTGTGGTTTCCATCTGTGATTTGATGTAATTAATAGACTCAGAGTGATAGAAACCCCCCTCTTGGGTATTACTGGTAATACTACAGTGTATCATCTTATTATCTTACAGCCTTGGTTCACGTGTAACAATCAGCCACAGAGCGGCTGAACTGGCCTCGACAGCAGAGGCGAGCTGAAGAGCTGTGCGTTTGCTACATTGTGAATTCATCACTAGCCTGCAGTTCATAGTTAATAAAATCTAAACCCAACAATAGTCATCCTACCAAGTTTCACTGGTGCCTTGTATTGCTGTGGGAAAGGTCCATGGTGAACAAACGCGTAGCTAAAAGTCTTTGCATTGACCTGTTGTAAGCTTGGGAAGATTTCACAGCCCGCGTGACGTCTGTAAGTCACGCGTGTTTCGATTGGCTTTGTTTTAGAAGAAGCAGAGATTTTATCAAAGCCCCGCTTAGTGTTCTGTTCCTAATCTGCACCTGAAACCCCGACAGAAAGCCAGAGCACAAAGATGATCAATCATGCTAACGTGAACTTAATTGACCTCTGGCTGCACAAAGTCTTTTCTCTGATATTGCCTCCATTAACATCATCCTCATCTTCCCAAGCTGCTGTGGTGAAAAGCCAAGATCTTGATGTGAGCCAGAAGACGCACATACTGAGTAGATGATGTGGAAGAACCTGTTGTTTGTGCCTTTTGTTGTGGATGTCCTTGCATGTACATGACCCCCACCTCCCCCTCTCCTCCTCCTTAACCACCTCCTCCTCAGACATGGCACACACCTTCCAGCTCAGTTTCAGCCTTCCAGCGTTCACTCCCAGAAACGAAGGTTCATTACTGCAGCCTGACTTCAGCATTTAGCCCATCAACCGCTGGACTTTTGAGTCCCAGTGTGACCTCTTTGTGTTTGTGCTGCTGAGTGTGTGTGTGTGTGTGTGTGT